ACAGACAGGGTGCCTGAGATGTTAGATGAAGACACTGGAGGATCGGGGGGGGGGGGGGGGGCGGGCTAAGGAAGTCAACTGACATGACGAGGACACGCCGAGACGGTCACTGACCAGCTCTTCGTTGTTCAGCGTGCTGGACGCCAGTGCGGAGGTGATGCCCGCCTTCCGAGAGTTCTGGACCAGAGACTGCAGGCACACAGATGGGGAGACGCAACCGAGTGTGACTTTTACCCGCGTCGGCCTTCATTAAAACCACATGAAGTATTACAAAAATCAGCAAATACTCATAACTAACAAATGAAGTCTCTACACACCAAGGAATGTTACCAAGGGCTGACAAATAGCAGCTATACAAGTATCCATTCCTCAGCTGTTAGTAATTTAGTGCATAATGGTCTGGCACCAGTTAAACAATTCTGTTCAACAGTGGCCCAACTAAAAAAAACTGGCAGATGACAAGTACGTGGGAGACGTGCATATTCACACCTCATCTGATCTACTGGTTTATAAGAATACATGAGGAGATGTGTGTACGTCCATAGACTTAATGTAAGAACTGGCACAGTATGGTTCCATAAAGGAAGACTACCATGTAGTAACAGTGAGTAGCACACGGTCATGGGGGAGGGGGGGGTCAATATTCAGTCCTGAGAACACATTTACAAACGAAACGGCTATTTCATGGTGACACTGGTTTTAGAGGAACGGTGTCCCTGACTCAGGGTTTGTGGTACTTACCATGGCCTGTGGCAGGCGGGGGGGGACGGAAGGGACGGGAGGAGAGAAAGACAGTGTTAGGCGCAACATGGCAGACTTCTCTGGTCCAGAAAGACCCACATCAAGAGCCACAGAGAATAAGGACAGACAGGAGAGTAACAGAGGGAGGCTATGGGGCGGACGCTTGGGGGAACTGCATGAAGCCTGGGAAGGTCGAGGAAAAGGAGATAGAACAGACCAGTCGGCAGGTGTGTGAAATCAGTGGAGGTGTAACAGATATAAGGAGGAACTTGACAGTCCTTTAAGAGTAACATCAAAATACAAGAACACTGGTTTTGCTTGACTTTATACTTTCCCTGTGCTGAAATGTCATTTCTGCATTACCTAGACCTCCCAACCCGGTCCACGGGGACACCCAGACAGTCCACGTTCTTGCTCGTTTCCAGCTCCCAGAGATGGGAGTGAGAAAAACGTGGACTATCTGAGGGTCCCCAAGGAATGGGTTGGGAAACACTAAGCTAGACCATCCAGGCAACCTAAAAGTGTAGCTGCATTAAAACAGAGGGACTGTTAGACTTTCTAGCACAATATGCTAATTCGTCATTTCAGAAGGATTCCTGCCAATGTGCTCAAATTTCACACCGTCTTTCTGCATAATTATACAGCCGACACGTCCCCGGCAGAGCGAGTGCCGAAGGCTGTTAGGCTACGCAGGGAACATGGAGAGCGGCTGGAGCTTTGAAAGAAGAGAGCATTAGTGTATATTAAAGGTACAGTGACGACGAGGCTTTTAGGGCCTCCTGAAAACAGCCGCGAGTCCTTCGCATGAATCCTCATCTCAGCACGCTTCTCATTTCCTCTTGCGGGGTTTCCGTCATCGCGGCGGCACCTGCACGGGAAGCGGGAGCAGCCAATGCCGAGGCACTTTTCATCAAAAGGCCGAGGCTGAGCAGCTTAAAAGGAAGGCGACGGGGGTCTGTGCTTTGGGAGCGGGGAGGCCTGCTCCTGATGGCTTCCCTTCTGCCATCTGCCTCTCACTGTCTGCTGGGAGGAAGCCTCGCTGATGCGGTCGCCTGGTAGCGTAGCCACGGCAACAGTGGGGAAAGGGGGGTCCGAACCACCGATTTACACACGAGGCTGACTCAAAAATCTTAGCCCGGGCACAAAACCGAAGCACACACACTTCACTGGATTCATTTAAAAGACGAAAAATCTCTTCCATTCCATGCATATTAGCAAGGATGGGAACAAGTCACTCTTTGGTGAGTCCGAGTCAAGTCTCGAGGCATGTGCCCTCAAGTCCAAGTCGAGTCCAAGTCTTTCCATCATTTTTGCAGTCAAGTCATCAAATCCAAGTCCAAGTCGAGTTGTGAGCCATGTAACTTGAGTTCCTACCTATGTCTTTTTTTTACCCTTTGTGATTAAAACCCATTTCATAGGCAGAGACAGGTTGAAGAAAGAGTCTCCACTCCATTGCAGTTGTCCTCACACAGTTTTTATGTCAGTGTATATGCACAGAGTGATGCATCTTTCCGGCAAACTATCTCAGGAGTCCTTGCATTCAGCAACAGAGAGTTCATTTACACTGAAATGATAAAATTAACATTATGGTATCCAGTAGGGGGACTATAACTCAAAGTATTTTCAAGTCATACAGCTCAAATCGGGTCCAAGTCTCGAGTCAACAGCCCTCAAGTCAAATTTGAGTCCAAGTCTTTCCATCAGTTTTGTTAAGTCGAATCACAAGTCATGAAATTTGTCGAGATGCGAGTCAGTGACTTGAGTCCCCACCTCTACATATTAGTACATATATAAACCTGCATGTTATCTGTATTTATACTACCTATGAGGCAGAAATGAGCTATAATAACTGCATGAAATTGAAGAGGTATATTAGTGGTGTGTTATTTGTGATTGCCTGGAAATAAGTGCGGATCTTTTCCAGTGTGAAATCGTGTTATTTCTGGATGAACACTCATTGGTTGAGATGGGCCGCCCGCGAGAGCTCAGGCCCATAACCGTGGCTTCATTCCCTCTACAGACATGCAAATATGCTTAATCACTGCGGGGGCTAAAAAAAACCCTGAGAAGATAAAAGCAGACGGTAGCTTCAAGAAGGTCTGATGAAGCCCAGGGGCAGAGCTGAACTTGACAGGTGCTCCGACCTGTGAAAGCGGCTGACCAACGGAGTCCTAGCAGCAGCTAGGAAGAGCCTGATTGTGTGATCGGATGATCGCCCACGAGGGTGTTACACCAGCCCAGGTGAGGGTCTGTGGCTGCCACCACTCTGGGCATGGAAAACACGCCCTAGCAGCGTGTCTTCTCAGCTCACGGTGCATATCCACTCAGCACCTTTTAACCTGTAATTCACCTCCTAATGGAACTGTGGTGGATGATGAGAAGGAGGAGGCTGTAAGAAGGGACCTTTCCAATGGATCAGCTCAAATGGGCACAATCACCACACACTCTTTTAATTACTGACACGCCTTGATTTGTGTTATAACATGACCCTGAAACTAAAAATACAGCAATGAAATCTGTTTATTTTTAACACTCATTTTGCCTCTATATATATATACACACACACACACACATATAATGCGAAATATGTCGATCGCTGTAGTGCTTGGACTTTGAACCCTGTTATTTGCAGAGCAGTGGCAAGACGTCCTCAGACATCATCCGATACAAATACAAAAATACAGAATACCCCGCCCATCTTTAGTTCATAGCTATTTATGTGATCGTGCATTAGTGGTAGGCGTTCCGTAGCTCTGGTCTGGTTTCACTAGGGGCCTTTACTGGAAAAACCCCTAATGTAGAGGAAAGCTTAAAAGCTTTTGATCGGTAGGAGTTTAGGGAAGGAGAAACAGGTATAACATAGACGGAGATTAGGGACAGGCATCCCAGCGACGGAGGCCGTCCGGTAGTTCTCACCAAGTCTCTGACCAGGGGAATGGCTTTCCTCTTTCGGAGATCCGGCATGCTGTCAATGCTGTAGAGCGCCCCACCTGGGCTGTAGAGAAACAGCAGCAACAAAGCTATTATCTAGTCCTCTGTGTCCGAGCCACAGGATGAGTAGAACGCAAGGCAGAATGCATTTATAATAGCGAATGGTTACAGCGATTGGAGGAGTTAAGCAGCAATTTATCAGTCTCTTCCACATCTAATACAGTATTTCCCGACAGGGTCGTCGGGGATCCACAGACGGCCCACGGTTTTGCTCCCACCCCAGCTCCAGATAGAAAGGCAGCAAAAACGCAGACTGTCTGTACAGGGTTATGCGGCCTGGAGCCAATCCCAGGCTGGGGAACACCCTGGATGGGATGTCAGTCCATCGCAGACACATGCACACGTTAACTGCGTGTTTTTAGATGCTAGACGGGAAGAGAAGTACCTGACGGTGACGGGGGGCACGTAAACGTGTGCATGTGTCTGTGATGGACTCCCTCTGAGCCACGGTGCTCACAGCAATTTAACAGGTTGATAGATGCATGATGTACTTTTTGAATCCTTTAATGTGCCTCCCAACCTGGTCCTCTGAGACCAGCAAACAGTCCATGTTTTTGCTCCCCCTCCAGCTCCCTACTGGGGAGCAGAAAATGTGGACTGTCTGCCAGGGAGCTGGGAGGGTACGTGGCTCAGCTGGGGGTCCCCTAGGACCAGGTGGGGAGGCACATTAAAGGATTCAGCTTCAAGAGAGATCCTGAAATGCCCCTTTGATCATATGAATGAAAATAAGTGTCGAAGGAACAGCCAATGAGAACACGGCGAAGCTTCCCAGTCAGGAAGGTTACAGTAAGGTAAAACTCAACAAATCTTTGTAATGGAAAAAGGCCTAATCACTTTAAGAGGCAATCCACTCGAAAACTGTTTCAATTTCCTGTCTCCAGACTTGCCTCTTCCATCAAAACACCCTCTAAAAAAATAAAGAGATGTGTCACTGTTGGATTAGTTACTGCTGCAGGGCCTCACTCAGTATGGATTCTAATCACCTCTTCCACTCGGTGCCTTGCAAACCGTGACTGAGAGCCCCTATCGAACACACCCTCGTCATCAGCATCACGCCTACCCCACCCCCACCCCGCCCCGCCCTCGCATCCTCTACAAAATGGCAGGGGAGCCACTGGAGGCGGGGCTGCCCTTGGGCTCCCCCCCCCCGCTCCTGACCTGGATCTGATCAAGGAGCTGGGAGCTACGGCGGAGCAGAAACGTGGACCGGCTAGAAGGTCTCCAAGGACCGGGTCGGGAAACTCTGCTCTACAGCACCGCTCCGGGCTACTGGGAATGAAGTGTTAGACTCACCCTCCTGGAAACCACGGCGACTGGGACCCGGCGGTCTCACCGCGGGCCTGTGGGGGAGAGGTGGAGGAGAAAGAGAGATGAACGTGAGCTTGGCCCGGTGCCCCGGGGAGACAGCCCCTAACGTGCGAACGTCCATTACCGCTAATGAGATAGTAATCCCTAAGGGACGCCTGGTCGGGGATGATACTTCTATACAAAAGTGACACAATGACCCTCAAAGCCAACATTAATATCTGCCTGTAATATCTGGCCCCTTTCATTTCACGGAACGGCTCAAACGGTCCCTTGTGACCGCGTTGGAATATTCAGCCTCACCCACCTGTCAGTCTCCTCCAGCCCCGGCCAATCAAGGAGCACGACATGAAAGTTGCAAGGGAAATGACAATGAACTGAAACAAACAAAACAAGGTGGGACACAAATAACCATAGACAAAAAAAAAAAAGGCGAGAGCTCAGGCCAGTGCTTCATCAAATCAAATTTGAGGATTGTAATGCCGCAGACAAAGCATGTGAAACGCATGGGGAAGGAAAGAAAATAACCGTAATCAAACAGAGACCAAATTAATCGTGGGTTAAAAAAAATGCAAACGATGCAAACCCAAGTAGGCTCTGGGGAGGGGGGTGGTGGTAAGGGAGGGCAAGCCAGCTGGCAGAGCGAGAGCAGCCCGTTAGAGGCAGCGGGTAGCGATGCGGCGGGTCGAACCCTGCGGGACGTACCTCCTGCAGCTGCAGGCGCACCTTGTTGAAGAGCCTCAACCAGTTGGCCTTGGCGCGGACCGCTGGGTCCAGGGGCTCCTCAACCACAGGGTAGCTGGAGCGTGAGGAGAGGCAGGAAGGGGGCAAAACAGGTAAGCAGGAGGCATGAAGGTGATGACGTCAATATGGCAGCGCTGGGAGAGCCGGCCCACACCCAAGGCCTACCTGTCTGGCGGTGCCTCTGCTTCCTCTATTGGTGTAGCAACCAAGGTCTCCTCGTCTTCTAGAACTTCTTCAGAAGGGGGAGGTTCCTCTATGGAGGCGGCTTTCCTGAGGACAGCCTCGGGGGCCTGAACAGGGGGTGCGGTGGTTTGGCTCATGGGGGTGGGTTGACTTGCCATTGGTGGGGGCTTGGAAATAGTGGCCTGAGGGGGGGGGAAGGCTGCGACCTGTGGCTGGCTGATGGGGGGCTGGGTGTGAAGCTGGGCCTGGGGAGGCTGCTGCCCATGCATGGAGGTCTGTTTTTCCAGGGGGGGTCTCACAGAGGGGGTCTCCAGGCCCGGAGTGCCGCCCATGCTGGTTTGGCTCGGTGTGTACGGCGGCTCCTGATCTTCACTCGGTGTGCCATCGAGGGGATAGAGGTCCTCATCCTCCCCGTACATCATGTCCTCCTCTTCCTCCTCATAGGTGCGCTCGGCCTCCTCTTCCTCCTCATAGGTGCGCTCCTCGGTCCCGTACAGTTCGCCGTCCTCCTCGTCATAGAGAGCACCCTCCTCTCCTCCGTCCTTGATGTAGCCGCCCTCGTCGCTGTACCCACCCTGCGGCTCTTCCGGGTCCCAGTCGGGTGACTCCTTGCCATAGCTAACGGAGGAGTGGCAGGAGTGGTAGGAGTCGTTCTCGTCGTAAATCTCGGAGCCCCTTAGGCTCTCCCCGTCCTCAGGGCCAAACTCCTCGCTAAGCTGGGAGCTGCCACGACTCAGCTCCCCGGAGGAGGCGTAGCGGCTGCTGCCGGTGGGGCTGCGGACAAACGGACAGGGTGGGGGCTGGGTGAGGAAGACTGGGGAGGACGGCAAGGGAGGCGCCAGGAGAAACGACGGCCACTCGGCAGCACTGAGCGCGATGAGCTTAGGAGGGCCACGGAGACAGAGAACTCCCATCACCTCCCCCCTCCCCTCACCGGATGTGGCCGACCGGGGGCGGCGGAGAAGGAGCGCGTCAGGGTGGGGGGAGGACACCCAGACGGAGAAGACGTCATAAACGGAAAAGCCGAGTGCGATGCTCTGGCACGGCGACGGGCACGGAAACAACCGGAAAAAACCAGCCGTCAGAACTAATGACGCATTCCCCCGCGGGGGGGAGGAGAGGGGAAACCGGCGGAGATAAAACGAGAGAAGCCGCGGGGGTGGGCAGCTTCCATTGAGGTGACAGTGGAGGGGGGGCAGTTTCTTGTTGGGAGACACCCAGAGAAGGGACATTTACCCCGTGTGATGAATGAGGCTGGAAGAGAGCTGGGCAGACGGAGGGAGGCGGAGGGAGGCAGTCTCTACGAGGACACGCTCACACTCCCTACCGCTCACACCTCCACACCGCTCCTCACGATCGATCACAAGGCAGCCGGGTCAATAATTCATGAGGCTGAATGACTTTTTTTTTTTACTGCTCCTTTTTTTCCCGGAGAAGGAACAGTGAGACTGTGGCAGGGAGACCCAGGCGGGATGTTGTAATGGGGGAAGCACAACACCTGCCAACGGTGGCTGGAGGGGGTGAGCTTCTCCTCACCGACCGGCTGGCTGCTCAGAAACACACACACACACACACACACACACACACACACACAAACACACACACATACACACAAACACACTAAGAGGCAGATGTCACAGGCAGTCTCATACATGCACACACACACACACACACACACACAGACAGAAACATACAGACAGAAATATCTGTGTGCACACGCATGGCATCTAACGTCACGATGGTGCCCTACCACAGCATCAGAATAAACTCACTCCTCCATGGCACTGAACCAAGACAAATTATTCATAACAAGAAGCAGAAGCTACAGGCTTCTACTCTGTTTTAAGGGCATAGTTACTGGACACAGGCCTTCCACTCAATGCCTATGGAAGAAACTGCCAGGTCATACAGGCAGCATATTGGACTCAAGGGGCCCAGGGTGCACCGTGAGTGTGCGAGGCGCTATATCACCACACATCCGCTAAGTGGAAGCTTGTACGATGCCATCAATTACCTGTCACTAACTCCAGTAACTACTACAGACAGCTACTCAGAAAAATACACAAAACACACAATAAGAATTAAATTAAAGGGTAACTAGGAGAAGATGCATACAGAATATCATAATATTAAACATCAGCTATGTAGATATAATTACGCAAATAAGTATGGGGGAGGTGCTTGTGCCATGCATGCAAACACAGCAGTCACGACGTGACAAGTCCACCACTAACATCAAAGCGGGACGATGTCACAGGCTGGAGCAGACGGGCAGGGGGGAGGGGGGGGGGGGGGGGGTTGCGGTGCGTTGACCCACCTATCGGAGAGGGAGTGCCTACTGTCTAGAGAGTACTGGCGGCTGGTCAGCCGACTCGAACCCGAGGCCGAGTCGAGATCGCTGCGGCCGTTGGTGGCGGAGTCTAAACTATCATTGCGTCTGCTGGAGGGGGGGAAGGCAGGAGAGGAGGAGGATATCAGTGACCTGTGCCCCAGCCACGGGGACAGCCGCACACCGAGAGCTGACCCACACGCTGACGGAGGAAATACTGCACAAAGACGACTCAACCGGGGCCCCCGGGTTCCGGAAGCCCAGCCCCAGCCGCACAGTCAGTGGCCGGAGATGCCCTCAGTCTTTATGCAATAACACCTTTCGCCAGACAATAGAGAGTGTGGACTGCTCCTTTACATGGAGACAGACAGACACACAGACACACACACGCACACACGCACGCGCGCGTGTGCCCAGGTCATGGACACACACGGCATGTGCCCATTCCTGGACAAGGCTCTTGGATCGCGGCTCGTATACAAAGACCCACTGCTCCCCCGGGTCTGTATACAGAGGCCGAAGAATGTTGTGAGGACGTCTGGGAGGATCGGGGGAGTCGGACAATGTCGGATTCGTAAAAACAGCACGAGACAGAAAGTTGGCCGCCTAATCTTCTCCCACTCTCTGCTCTTCTCCAATAAAAACAGCCTTTATGCGATTTGGGAGGCCCCCAACTGAATCAGAAGTACCTAAAAGACTAAAAAAAAAAAAAAGATTTGGTGGGTTTGAGCTGGCGAGCTTGGGCCATGGATAGAGGGAGGGGGGGGTTACCTCATCGCCCTCTGGTGGTCGTAGTCGAGGTCGCAGCTATTCATGGAGTCGCCGTACGGGCCTCGCAAGCCGTGCTGCTGCTGCCTCATGGGATATTGGTGCATGGAGGCGTTGGGCTGGGAGGTGGTGTAATACGGAGGGGGTATGCTGTTGCTGGTCTCGCTGCGGTAGTCGCTGTCCCGGTCGTCCACCGCGCTGTCAGGGTCCTCGTCTGTCCGGGCAGGAGTGCAGCGTCAGGCCCTGTCTACTTCAGGCCTCATCACGTTACACTGGATGAGTACGACTCGTCTGTACAGTGTCCCGACAATGGATAGCAACTTGGGAGCTACGCAAAGCTGGCTGCAGTCGTTCTACCGGCCTGTAATTCCAAGCCATCCACCCCTCCGTCGCCTGGAAGGATGGAGAATGCTTGATGGCGGGGGTAGGTACTTAAGCATCTGCCCCTTTTTGCCCAAACAATTGAAAATGCCTCCCTTTTGAGGTTCTTAATGCCCCTTTTCGTTAATCTACGATCAAGCAAAAGTTACCCCCCCCCCCCAAATTTACCAAGGGCACCCATGCCCCCCCCAGCCCCCCTAATATTTACCCTAAGTCACACCACCCCCACCCTTCAAGCACCTATCCCTTGAAAAGTCTGTAAGTCTGTGCACAGCACTCCCAGACCTGGGTGCACTAATGGTCGAGGCATGAGTGCGATTTTAGGCTCTGGGATTTAAAGAGAAGAAAGCCAAACCCGTAAGCTAAGAAATTAAAGGACAAGCCATTACCTGGGGATGCTTACAAGCGAATAAGCAAAATCCCTCAAAGAAAACATGCTTCTGAGACTCGCCGGACAAACAGATGACAAACAAAAGCATGACAGGCAATTAGGTCTGATGAAAGCGCGGCTGCCGCCCGGAACTCACTTTGCTGGTCTCCCCAAAGACTCCAATTACCTGCAAGAGAAGGGCATTGTGGGAGATTTCAGACTGACCAGCCTGGGTGACAGAGGAAGGCTAACGAGGGTGGGAGGACCGTAGGAAACCATGCGAGCCGATAAAAGGCATGAGGGAGGGACCCCGGGATGTCTCGATTGGCGGGTAAACCTCATGGCCGTGACCGTGAAGCTGAGGAGCAAGGTGACACCGCGGGCGCACCGGTCCTCCAGCCTGCCACGTTAGGGCGAGCTGAAGGGATGAGCCACGTCCAAGGGGACAGTGGGTACTCCCTCACCCAGATCCATACCGATGATGTCAAAACGCCACCCTCGAGGACAAAATGGAAGGCAGGCCTGCTGCCCAACATGAGGTTTAATGACACCCCCCCCCCCTCACAGAGATTGCCAAATACTCACAACACTGTGTGGCTGGAACTGGCAAAGGTCTATCCTGCTCTTCCTGGTAAGTGTACTACAACAGAGAAAATGGCACCTGTAAAACCACGAGGCTGGACGGCAAACTTAAAGTACAGATCTTCGTACATCTACACACCATTGCTTAGTTATTAACCAGAAGTCAGAAATTTTATTAAACTGATGGCCTAATTGTACCCTAAGTAGCTTGTGTAGCATGCTAGCCAAGATGAAAAGCATGCTAGGAAGCTTCAAAAGTGCAATTAATTGAGGTGATTTTATAGCTCGTAAAATGAAGTGCATGATCTCCCTGATTAGATATGATGCTCACCAGCTTCACTGACTGAACCAATTTCTCACGCTACATCAAAAATGCGATTTTAGCCTAAAGAGAATATGCTGAAACGCTAAAGCGCTAATTCTAAGCAGAGCTGGGCCGGCGTCCTTACGTCCTGGTCTCTCATGGCGTTGAGTTGCTCCAGTTTTTTGGCCCAATAGCGCGCCTCCTCCTCTGGGATATCTGCAGCGGCAAACCCACGCCGTCAGTCAGAGGGGAGCACAGGCCCCCCCACCGCTCACATGTTCCAGAAGCCCTGGCGCTACCGCGTGCTACACGCCCCCGGACGACACCGCAATTAGCATTTCCCAGCCTGGAAATACACGTGTTTGCATGCAGATTACATTCGGTGGAAAATGCACGGTGCTGTGCTGCCGTTTCGCTGCCCCTCAGTGGCAGTCCGATATCCATGCCCGGGTCGAGACTTTACAACTGTCTGTGCAGGATGGGTGCAACACAAGAGCGGCCCAAATGCCGGACTCCTGTGCAGTCGGCGTGCTGCCGGAGATGGAGGTGGGATGGGAACAGCAGCATTTCTCACCCAGCGGCAGCTCGAAGCGCGTGTCCAGGAGGACGCGGTGGAAGGTGGGGTCTTTGGTGCCACAGATTTCGTTTTCCGCCATGATGGCCTGCGAGTCCAGCGTCACCCACTGTCCTGGGCCTTCCTGTTGGACGAGGCACAAACCATACGCTCTCTTACTGGCCCTAAAACACTACCGTTATTACACAGAAGGTGACAAAGTCGAGAGAGACCTAAAAGAAATTAAAGCTATTCATTGGTCTCTCTAACTACTGCAGTACAACTGGAATTTATTAATGAAGCCATACAGGCACTGAAATCAATTAAAAGCTTAAACTGATTTTAATAAAAGCTTACACTCATGTTCATGCACATTCTTTATTTAGCACTTTTTAATGGTTGTTTGTCCACTGGGTTTGTTTAGCGAGCAGCCGCACCTCATTGGACTGGCGGATGTTCCGCAGAGGGATCCACACTGTGCCCACCATGGTGTCCCAGATCAGCCCTTTGTTCCACACCTCCACCGTCAGGCCCAGGTCCAGTCTGTTAATCTCACTGCGTGGCCGGGGGCCGGATACCAAAGTGTGTGTGTGTGGGGGGAGCAGAGCGATAAAGGGAAAGAGCGATGGGGAGAGGGAGAGAGACAGTGAAAGTAGGAGAGAGACAGAGAAAGAGAGAGGGAGAGAGAGACAGTGTGGGTAGGAGAGAGATAGAGACAGTGAAAGAGAGACAGTGAAGGTGGGAGAGAGACAGAGAGGGAGAGACAGTGAGGGTGGGAGAGAGACAGAGCGAGAGAGACAGAGAGAGGGAGCGACAGACACAAACAGGGACAGAGAGACAGAGGGAAAGAGAGAGAGAGAGAACAATTAGAGCAGCAGACCCAGACCACCTATTACCGATGCCAAACACATTCTTTTCAAATTTCTGCTTTAATCTAATAGCTTGCAGTGAAATACAACTTTGCCTTCGGCTAAATGACTCACAGAGGAGTCATACACGGAGGCCTGGTGATGTTTTTTTTTGTGCAAAGGGGCAGAGAAGGACAGATCATATGGGTGGGGGGGGGGGGGTGCAGGAGGAACGGTGATGAGCAGGGCTTTTCCACGTCAACCCTAGCTAATGACAAGCTTCAGGAAATGTTTGCTGGCGGACGGCTTTTTAAGAGGCCCGGCATGAGTCATGTCCGCCCTTCCTACCATGAAGACATACTTCACCGCTACATATCTTGCACACCAACACCTGTGAGTTGGAACGTTTCCGTAAAACAGAGGCAGAGATCAAAGACAGAATCCCCGGAATGTCCCTGTATGACAGTGGCGGACATTTCCATGCGCATTTAACCGACTGCTACAGTATTACGTGCAAACACCAAGTGTTTATTTGTTACTGCTTTCTGGCCATACAGATATGAGCTCATAGAAGGTTTGGATAGATACAGATACTCAAAAGATGAAAATAACTAGTAAATGACACAGAGAAATCTTAACTCAGCGTGACTAATGATGACGCTGCAAACAAAGCAAAAATATTCCAGAAAACAATTTTAGCACCTTTCATTTAAACAGTTTGTTAGAAAAATATGCTAAGTAAGCAATTTTAATGGTCTAGTAGATACAGGTTTAACCAGCCCATATGAGACCAGTGAGAATATCACATTACATTCAGTTGTATGGCAGGCCACAAAACCACCTCTTAATGATGAACTGCAGGCTCAAATCTGTGAGCATCCCTACAGGCATTACTAATCAACATTTCTGAAGTCTTTCTGCCCAGATTATGCAACCTTAAGCGGCGGGCTGTTACGTTAGCATGGAGGGAGGCATGCATTGTACGCTGTGAAAACTCTCTGATAATTCCAGGGCTGCATGTAGGAGCAGAAATCAGCCCACAGTTCCCATGTGACACCGTGGTGGGACGGGGCGGAGGGGGCAGATCACAGCCCCCCCCCCCCCCTCGAGGATTCGGCAGGCATGGAAGGGGGTGGCGGAGAACTCACAACATGAAGTCTTGTTCCCAGCTGGGCTGGCTGCCCCGGACGGTAATGGTGGTACTCTTAACATTCTGCACCTTCAGGGACACGTAGGTGTTGAATTTCTCTGCGGGGGTGGGGGGCCAACAGGCTGCCATTAGTACGCACCTCGGGTTTACGACATTTTTTACTGAAAAAATATGGAGGGCATGGCTCACCTTGGGGTCCATCGAGTTTGGCCTTCTTCACTGCAAAACAGAGAGACAGCAATTGTGACTGAGGGACGTGCATGTCTACAAACTCATCATCAACATTGATGTCCATGGGAGTTTTACTTACATAAAAATGTTCTGAGGGCATAAGGAAAAATTAATGGCTCAGAGAAATAACCAATCATATTGCAGACCAGGAGGGTCCAAGCAACTCGAGGCACTAACCAATCAGATGTATTGCCCCTGCCTCCTCTAGGAGCTTAGACCCACCTCCTTGACAATCTGATTGGTTATCTCTCTGAACCAATCATTTTTTTCTTCTGCCCTCAGAACATTTTTGTGTAAGTAAAACTCCCATGGGCAACACTGATAGTCAACCTGCAGACTCTGGTTTCAGATGACAAGGCCAATCAGACTGACAGTCGGCGCACGTGGCCAATCATCACGAATTCCGTGAGGATACAAAAACCTGAGACTGGGGGACTGGAGGCTAGAAGCACTAAGACAGCATTCATGAGAAGGCCGTTCACATCAATGACTGGTCTGTGGTTTCCGATATTCAGAAGACGCCGATGAGGAATCCTGGGTAATGGGGGGCAGGTGAGCTGGCGTAAATGGCTTTAACCAGAAGCCTTATAATTCACCGCCTGACTGGGAGGCTCAGAAATTTAGGCGGGAAATGGGCGGATCTCCGGGAGGGCTTGCGGCCAGCGTCCGCGAATCAGATATTGAAGCTGAGGAGCACTCTAAAGCTGTCAGCGGTTTGCTCAGGATGGAGGAGTGGAGAGGGGAGCGGGGGGTGGGGGGTTAGGAGCACCTGGGCACTCTGGAGCTCAGCGTGAAGGATGAAAGGGAGTGGCGGGGCGCCGGAAACAATGGCGGCCGAGCCGGGGCAGGGGAGTCCCCGATGGAGCCTGCGGGCCGCGGCTCACCGGCCGAGGGAGAAGCTCGTCCTCCCCGGTGGCACCACTCTTCGGGCAGCGCTGACGTCAATGGCCCATTCATAATTAATCCCCAGCCCTGCTGGTGCCAAGCATCCCCCGGTCAGGACATCAATATTCAACGCCCTCGTCTTAAATCTCCCCGGACGCTCTCTCCAGCTCCCTGCCTCTCCACAGCTGCGGTCAAAGTAAGAAAAGAACGCCTCAAATTCCTGAGTGTGCAAAAAGCATCGCAGACTCTGCTCCAGCTGGGTCTGGGAGGGGCCCCATCCACTGAATTTGCCTGGTGCTTACAAAGAAACCCCTTCCCCCACGTCCGATTGAATTGGCACTTACACAAAAATCAACCATCTTGTCAGTATAACATGGGGCTAGCCAAAGGTTAGGCCATGCCTGGACACTCTCCCCAAGCTAAGAAAGATTTGTTTACTGTTTCCTTAGCTCTGCAGAACTGAGGAGTGGGAGATATAGCAGTGCTCAAGTGGGGGAGGGTTTGCAGATATACTTTGCAGCCAACAGCCAATCCATCCATTTTCTGTAACTACTTGTTCTATTCAAGGTAGTAGGGGGTCCAGAGCCTATGGGCACAAGGCAGGGAACAACCCAGCATGGGGCTCCAACCCATCGCAGGGCAACCTCACACATGCTCACCTATGGGCAATCTGATAACACCAATTAACATCACCATGTTTTTGGACTGTGGGGGGAAACTGGAGTACCCGGAAGAAAGCCCACGATAACACAGGGTGAACATGCAAACTCCATACACGGACCCAAAGCAGAGGCTTGAACCCTGGTCCCAGAGGGCTGAGATAACAGCACCTACCACTGGGCCACCTCCAATAACCAATGGCAATCCTTAAAGGAAAACCCGTGCATCAACCAGCATTTTCTTATCAACTGACATTACCAGTAGGAGCATTGACAGCATGTAATGACTACTTATTGCTTCTTAGGCTAGAGAAATCGAAAGATTTCATTATTGTCAGAGAAGCCGGTTCATCTGCGATAATCACATTCATCACTCGTGACTGATAACGTTCCTTCCAGCTTGTTTCCCTGAAGGCCACTCTGGCGGGTGACAACATTTAAGGATGGAAAAGGAATGGCACTCCTGTTTACCGCTAGCACCTGAGAGCAAAGACACCGGGTCGCCCGCCTCCGTCTCCCCGCGGTCCGCCATCGGCCTCCGCCCGTCTTACCGCTCCCGCCGCGTGCGCGCACGTGCGCTTCCCCTTCTATCGCCTTCCCTCGCGCTCCATTAATCTCCCCGCGTGGCCGGGCGGAGGCAGACCGCACTGCACTCCTGCCGCTAAAAATAACCGGGAGCAGGAGCCAGGGCGCAAAAGAGGGGACTCGCGGCACGACCAGACAGACAGTTTATTTAAAAGCGCAGAAAAACACTGTAAAGTGGATTTCGCACTCGGACCGATTACAAATTACAGAAAAACATGAAGAAATTACTCAGATGTAGCCTAGATGTAGCAGTTCGCTCCAAGCCTATTCCTCTAAAGCATTTCTAACCTCTCTTGCTGAAACACATAGAGTCTCTGCCGCTCACATAGCTCTGTTACGGTGAATCGTCTCCAAACAAACAGCGCGGCTATAACAGGTTTCACCGATTGCTTTAGTACTACCCTGCGGTGTACAGCAACACGCCACGTTCACTACAATGTAAATGCATCTAGATTTCCCGACAGGTTTCAATGTGAGGTAGGGAGTAACAAAGGCTGTTAATGATCGCGACTTTAGAAAGCTGATTCCGTCGCATACTGGCAATTAATTTTGCATCCTAATTCTTTAAAATGAATGCATTCTTCATGCCCGTAGAAGGGAAACCACGTCATCAATATGAAGAGGCTGTAAAAACAAAATTCGGCTGGTAAAGAGAAAAAGAAAAATCTAAATTGTTCACTGCCCCTAAATGCTAAAGGATGTCACCTAGGGGCTACAAAAGTTACTGTGACTGATGACTAATGACAGCTTCATGTGAAAAATACAGAATACAGAGTAATATGACGTAATAGGGCAGATAAGAATATATATATATATATATATATATATATATATATATATATATATATATATATATATATATATATATATATATACATACACACACTGTAGACATGTAAGCCATAAAATCTCAAGTGCCCCCTTTGCAATTCACTGTTTAACTGAAATTGGGCATTATATTTAAATTATGAAGATCAAATGCAAGTGACTCCATGCTGGGTCAAATTACATGAAATGGTTTGCACTGGTGCGTTTCAGAAGATAACACACTCCTTGTTCAAAAACAGGAATCCTACGCCAGCATAAACAAGGCAGAAGATCCCAAGGAAATATTGAAGATCTGATGCAATTACAGCGTGATTGTTGATAATGACTATGGAGTGGGAGTGTGTACCAAGCTGCCACATTCTGACGAAAGCAGCTTCTGGTTTTCATAGGACAGCGTAAGTGTGGCGCATGTCACATCTATTACATTTGTGTCTAATAAATTAAAACATATATCTGAAATTTGATCTGAGTAAACATGCCAATGAGAAACAGAATCAGCGGTGCATCTGCCGCAGGGGATTCGCAATGCAACGTTAACAGAAGTTTCACCGTCACCCGATGAACACAAATCAGACTGACACCAGAAACGGACTCCTGTCAGACAGTTTTCAAATATATTTAACCTTTACAGACTTTGTGTTTGATGATTAGCGATGTCGAAGTCGATTTGGCCTATAACGTTTACGGTTCTTGGGATTCGTTAAAAGTAATTAGAACTGAATATTGATTCCAGAAATAAGACAAACAACTTTTACATATATGTGTACATATATAATTTACTATATGTACAGGTTATAAATATACCAGTGCAAAGTACTATTTATATAGACTGTAGTCTTAAAAATAAGCACCATCTCTCACAGCAGAAACTGGCAGTTTCATTGCAGGACCTCAATCCCATAAGCACATATCAAACATGGAGTAGGTTACATATACAGGGTGGCAGGGAGACCAATCCATCACAGAGCACACAGTCACGCACTCAGGGTGATTTGCAAACAGCAGTTCTCCTAACCTGCACCTCTTTGGACTGTGGAAGGGAAGCGGAGTACCCAGAGGGACCAACGAGTGAACCTGCACAAACAAGAGGGCAACAAGCAAGTGATGCCCATGCAGAGCCGTCACGGGAATTAAACCTGAGACGAGCCAAGCGTTCCGGAGATAGGAGGCTACAATCCTGCCCACTTAACCACTGTGCTGTCCATCGGTAAGGATTCCTTTAGCAGACCCCTATCCCATAATCTACATGTTTCCCATTAGTGGTGATCGCAATTTTCGAAACTAGAGTGGTACGCTTCTAGTGTATGTCGCACATTTAAAACCTGCTGCTCTCTGGACATGAATTACATAATCACTGTTTTAGCAAACATTCAGAAGCATATAACTGGGTAAAGTGAAAAATGACATGATGTGTAAGACTGAAGCCTGGCTGGCAGATTATTAGCTGATCATATGGTGGTTTGTACAGTGTAAATATTTCCTCAGGACATGATATTAGCCCATTTCAAAAAAAAAAAATCTATCATTCACAGGGAACCCCCCCAAAATGAAGCAGCCCTATGCTGAGAGTCCTCTGAACTTCTCATAAGGCAAGAACAAGACTCACATGAGCACCAAGCATGTTTTTAAGGTGACTCATGATCACCGCATCAGAATACAATCTGAAAATTCAGGCACTCAATTATGCACACAATAAAACCATGGTTAAAAAAAGAAAGATTATGATGACTTCAAAAATGCACGAAAGCAAATTACCTTCCATACAAAGACAAAAATAAAAATTGGAAAACAGGTGCACTTGAATACCAGAACAGTTGGCATAAACTAATTGATTCCAAGAAACCATCCACTCCTTACAGACACCCACACATCCACTTTTGACTTTGGATTACAGTGTTGGTACCTATCCCTCTGTCTCCTTAATTACAAGGATGTCACAGTCATACCCAGGGTGATAAGTAATTGTGTGGGTGTGTGTGAGTGTTATGTGACTAGGGGAATGCCATGTTTTGAATTTAGGGTTTCTGTTTTCCATTCAACCTCAAAAAAGTAGTTTTTTTAGAGTTAGAAAAATAACAACAATGACCTAAATAACCACAAGATATTCATCAAAACACTGACCGCGAGAATAAAACTAAATGGTGCAATTCACAGTCCCTCAGCCTGACACGTTTAAACCACACCCAACCATAAAATCAGAGAGCATACGCTGGGGAAAGTGCAAATGTAATCACAATCGCTGCATCGATCCAGCTCAACAACTGCTACAATTTATAGGTAGGGAATGCGATTAGCAAACTGCCTTAAATAAATTCCTGTGAGCGTGTTCGAATCTCAGACTGTCCTCACTGTTAGAAATACTAGACATACTCTAGCAAATGTGAAGTCAAACCGGAAACCAGAGCGAGGAATGATCAGCCTCAGCTGAAACTAAACAGGGCAGCAGGAATTTTATGCAGTATATGTACATTAGGGCTTATTCATGATTTTTTTGTAGTTTACATTTTCACATATTTTAAATGGAAAATATATAGTCATTATATACAAACGAATCCATGATTCATTCTAATTGTGAACAAACTCAGTTTAACTGAAGGGAGTTATAAGTTCACAATTCAGAAAACGAGGGTTGAATTATGAACAACCTAGAAAACCCAAAGAGGAAAGAAATTTTGTATATCCGCGTCTACTAGAAGCGAATTACCAGTGATTTAATTGTTTTTATTCAAGATATTGCAGCATGTTTGTATTTCATTCATACTTTCACACATAACCTATATATAGCCATCAAATGAATTTAAAACGCATTAGTGAAAAGTAGATTTTCAACCAAAAAAAAAAAAAACTGCACGACAAATAAAAATTGACAACACCCGCCGATCCCACCCCAGGATCGCCACGGGAGACCGTATCGCTCAGTCTACGTAAATCCAGTCGAAGCTCTGTACGATCCTTAAAAAACACAAATAAATAAATAAAAAAATAAAACTTATCCCATATGAAATACTAAACTTATCAAAACATACCGAGTAACGTACAAATGAAAAATACATTATGTGACCGATAGTCATTTTTCCCCAAAGATGTTTCATTTAATTTATCTTGGTTATGAAATCAAATCGTTCATCCGGTTTGGCTGTCGTAAGGACAAACCAGTATAACAAAATATTGTAGAAGTGGAATCAGCAACAGCAGCAATAATAATAATAATGATAATAATAATAATAATAATTATTATTTAATACCAGAACACAAAAAATATCACCACATTTACACGAATGATCCCAATATACCAGCGTTAGATCCCTCCATGACTTAAGTACACAAATCTGCAAAAAAAATTTTAGTTTATTTTAGAAATATAGACAGAAATAAGGGTTAAAAATATACAGATAGGCTGTAAAAAAAAAATCACCCACTGAGCACATCATGCAGGACCGTTCTTGTCACTAACCATTTACTGACGGTTTCAGATTATAATGCAGATATTTATCATAATAAAATATACCGAATGTGGAGGAAAACCATTCGTGCCGCTATTTGCGTGCCCCGTGGTAAACGGGTCCCCCGGTCCGCTGTGGCTTGGGCTCCATTCGCACTTACCTCCGACACACAGCAGTGACATCTCTTATTCTGGCAATGAGCGCTCCCAGCTGTCTCCTCCCGGCTCCCCGTGTAGCTTTTCGCAGCGATTTGTCGGACACGCGTGGAAATGCAGCCGCCGTCCCTACACGCACATCACAGTGCAGTGCCGCACGGTATAAACGCGTTATAAGCGGCACCGCAGGGCGCGCCCCCAGCTTATCCGTGGCGCAGAGAGCGTTTCTGGGTGTAGCGCCGGTCGCCTCAGCTCTCCGCTCCCGGACGCACAGCCATCTTGTTCAGCACCGCCGCCGTGAGGAGAGCTACGGACCTGACGTCACGGCGGGTCGGTGAGAGGCAGAAGGGACCGGGGCGCCGGATCGGAGCCCCGCCGCTCCCCCCTCGCGTGCTTTAACTCCGCCGCTTCCGTCGTCGGCGATCACCATGACGGGACACACCCATAGGCGTTAAAGTTAAAGCGATCACACGCGTTTTAACTCGGAAGCATTCATAAATCCGGGAGCATTACGACATCGGCCTGAATGAAGCATCGCGGACACATGCTGAATGAACCCAGCAGCCAGCCGCTGATGGGGAAAATACGAGCGCCGGCTTCATTTTAATTGTGATTTTTGAACAGAACGGCTTTAGGGAAACTCACACTGGGCAATAATCTGCTGTGGAAATGAAGAACATCTACATTGATTTCGATGTATTGAACATGTCCTACAAAGTGTACTAGAATGATTTGGCATGGAAAACATGAGGTGCCTTACTACAATGAAAAGGAATTAAAACAGATTATCCGGAACGTTGCTAAAAATGGCACGTAGTCCGAGTTCCCCCATAGATAGCTTCTGAGTTACCATCAGGCACCTTGTATATATTTTGTATTTTCCACTGAAGCTACATTGACATAAGTAATTATAAACTATTATTAATATTGCATGACTAGATAAAAAATGCAGCACCATGCAAATGTATTGACCTCCCCCCCCAACTGACAAGATTTACCTGAACTACAAATGATACATACATAATGTATAATTTGTAGTTCAGGTAAATCTTGTCAGCTCTTGTATTCTTCCTTTCAGTATTTTTTATTGCAAACTCAAAGTCATGCAGTACATTTTCAGCAGACCTTTTAAAGAAAACCAAAAGCTGAAAATACTGCTTGCATAAGTTTTCAGTCCCCGTGCCCTGGAAGTTCCAGATGATTGAGTAAAAAGAGGCATACTGCCTTACCAAGGACACAACTGTCTTACAGTTGGCCTGCACCTGTGATAATCCTGCCCACCCCCTCAGTTTTACTCTCATTGGAAACACAGTTGGTGGGAAATGAGGCGAAATGAAGATTAAAGAACATTGTATGTAAGCTAGAGATAAACCAATCGAACTGCATGCATTTCGAATACGGCACAAGAGACTGGCGGGGTAGGATATCCCGGTAGACACTGCTGGATCAATACAGAGGAAGCAGAAGCTATGCCTCACCTGCTAGGCCGTTCCTCAAAACTCAGCGAGCACACAGAAAGGAGACTGGTGTGGGAGGCCAAAATTAGACCAACAATCACTCTGCAGGATAGTGAGAATGGAATGAACACACACCAGCCAGCCATTTTAAGAGCACACTGCGTATTGCTGGTCTATATGGAAGGCTGGTTAGAAAAAAAAACATTATTCAAGAGCAGCTACATGAAAGCATGTCCGGGTTGCCAGGTTCAAGTGTGACACAACTGACCTATGGGCCTGCGATTATCTTTTAGTTTTTGATTTTCTTTAAAGGATTTGCTAAAGAGTTTGCAATAAAAATAGCAACAGGAAGAATGTGTGCATGCATCGTTTGTAATTCAGGCAGGTCTCATCATTTCAAGTGGGGGTTCAATAGTTCTGCAAGGCACTGTAACAACATTTTAATTACTTAGATAACATAAATGACTTAAGACGTCACCCTGTTGAGTTTGCTTTCAGGAGGGTAAGGAGCAGGGCTGGATTGGCCGTCTGGCATACAAAGCATTTTCAATCTGGGCTTATGGGTTTGTGGGCAGGTGAAATTGATAGCGGGGACCCCAAAGTTCAGGGCCTGCTTTTTAAAATCACAGTCCAGCCCTGTAAGATAATATACATGACAGCATTCTGGGAAATGTAGGCGAAGGGCCATTTTTATTCAATTTAAATTATCACATTGGAATGTAGAGACAATTTAACCAGAAGCACACATGCTTTAGTCATACATTATATAACTGACACCTTTCAAAACCCAGATTATTCTGATCAAAATATAGTGTGTTGTTGTTCAACACATATTCATTGACTCTAGTTACTTGGCTCATATCTCAGTCTCTTGCTTTCAGAAGAAGCAAAGGAATATACTTATAGAAGACCAAAAGAGAACTATGGAATAAGAATATACATTGTCTGTTAAGTTAGCTCCTGAAGCGGCAATCCCGCATCGGACAGATACTGTTCACAAAGGAAATTTTGTAGTACATACATACAAAAATCATGTACAATTTGTGTATTCATTTCAGAGACAAAATTCATTACAAACATACTTAATATGACAAGAAATTCATGTTAGACATCTCCTTAATCACGTAACACATAAGCTGGTCCTGCAGTGAATTGTAAACCGGAACTGCTTTGACCTGATGTAATGCGTTCTGCACTGGTCATATTACTATACTACATCTGAGTAGTAAAGCTGTACGATGGTGGAGTATTCTCAGTCTCCTTCGCATAGATCAGATCCTGGCCCAGCACTGCGGTCCACCGTGTCGCCACCGTTCTCCAGGCTCCTCAGAGCTTCTCACTGGGTGCAGGGTGCAGGTGGGACAATGAGAAGATGGTAAGCAAGGAGGAAGCAATGCCTAAATGCAGATCACCGAGGTGACCGTCTAAGGCAGATTGATCCTGCTGAACCTTGAAGAAACTTCATGTCTGCAGTCTTTAGGTCTTAATATCGTAAACCTGTCTGACTAACGATATATTCTATGAAATAAACAACTCTAAAGGCATCTGGGCACTTTTTATATTAAGATTAATATTTGATTAATATTCAGATTAGTTAGCAGTCTATAAACTAGTTATTTTAGGGCACTTGGTGTCCGACTCTGATATAAAATTCCCACCTGGCTCTTGTCTTTCTTTATTCTTGCTTGGCACAGTAGTGGGGGGGGGACTGCAGATTTTTTTTTGTGTTGTGCGCTTGAGTTATGTTTTAATTACAAATGGGAGGATTCATTAATATCAGTGCTGTCGCCTGGGTATTGACCACAAGCAGGAGTGGGGAGTGTGTGAGTGACAGTTACCTATCAAAGTGAGACAAGACCTCTTTGAGCTGGGCCAGCAGGGCACGGTGCTCGTTGGGGCTGCTCTCCAGCATGCTGCTCATCCGGCTCAGGTACGAGTCCAGCGTACCCAGTGAGGGAGTCTCACCAGTACCTGGGGGTGGTGAGGATTTGTGGTTCCCACCGGCAACGGAGCAGCAGGAAGTAAAGACCACGGATATATAATAGACCAAACAACGTGAGCAAAAACACTTCAATGAAAACATCAGCCAGTACAAATGCGTAAAATGACTGTAAGCAACCATGCGTTCAGTGGCCAGTTTATTAGGCAAACCTGTTTGCTAATGCTAACAGCCTGCACCTGAATAATGCAGCCTCAGCTGAATACACAAACACTAACTACTTCACAAAGCACTAGCACGGCTAAGAGATCTGATGTAAGCAAATCTGAACTCAGTGTGATTGCTGGCACCGTAAGTGGTGCTTTGAATATCTCAGAAACAGCCCCCCCACCCCAGGGAGACAACAGTCCTCCAGCAGAGAAGACCTCGTGAATGACAGAGGTCAGGGAAGAATGGGCAGATAGCCCACCATTGAAGCAATTATGGAGGCAAAACTGGGTCCTACCAAGCAGGGGTGTAGCTAGAGATTTAGGGCCCTCATAAAAGCATATTATGTAGGGCCCTTGGAATTGTTCCAACCTCCTTTTTGGTGTCCCTGGTACCAGTTAATAGCTAGGTGTACCTACTGAGCATATAAAAAATCCATCACAATAAAGGAAGAATCACAAGTAAACTTTTGTCGAACCTACAGTTAGGGTCGTCTATTAACAGATGTCATGCAGGAGACTGACCAGGTAGGGGCACCGCAGCCAGGCTGTTGACAAGGGTGTGCTTGACGGCCAGTAGGTGGCGCTGCAGGGCCTTTGTGCGCAGCTCGTCCTGGCCCAGCTCGGCCTCCAGGCGCTCCTTGGCACTGTACATGTCTGCGATGTGCTTCTGCAGCATGTGGTTCTGCTCCTCGAACTCCACGTTGGCTTTGCGGAGGCGCCGCAGCTCAGCCTCCCGTGCTGCAGGCACGGCAACCAGCGCCAGCCCATGTGAATCAGGACAGAGGGGCATCATGGGATTCTCACGAGCAGCGGAATTTTTTTAGGAGAATTGGGCCTCGTGATTGGACAGTAACGCCCCTGGTTCTTAACTTACGGTTTTGTTGTTTTCTTAACCAAGCCGAAAAGCTTAACCCAAACCTCCAATAAAGCCCTTACCAGAGAAAACTTACAACAGGTTTCTGATTCGTTTGGTAGATGGAAGGTATGTACAGACAACCCCAAAGTTCCTACCTTTATTCTGGTCCAAGAACTCTTCTGTGAAGATGGGAACATCGAACCTGTTGGAGAGGTCTGAGCCCTGCAAAATGGAGAGAGAACGCAAACTGTCAAAAAGACAACACAACCTGTCACTACTGAAAGACCCGTCCCACCCTGGACATCATGGGTTTGACCCACTGCCTAATGGTAGACATTTCAGCTCTATCATATCACGGACAAACAGACTTAAAAACGGCTTTACGCCAGAGCCATATGAGACCTGAATACTGCCACATAATGACACTGTTTTGGAACCCATGTGACCAATAGCACAACACTTAGTTGCATCTAAAGAACACTGCACAAAAGAACACTGCACTCACTTTCATATCTGTGTTTAGATTTCATTCGCACTTTGGTACATACATTACCTTCAGTTCTTGCTTTTATTGTCGGGTCGATTCTTTTATTATTTACTTATCTATTAATTTGCTTATTTACTTATTTATCTATAATTGTCTTTCACGTCTTTTGTCCCTTTATTTTACATAGTTTGGGTGAGGGTGACGGTAGGGGTGGGTTGATGTTATTTATTATGCAAAACACTTTGTGTTGCATTGTGTTTGTAGGAAAAGTGCTATATAAATAAATCCTGATTGATTAATTGATAGATATATTTCCTATTGCAATAACAGGCCTCAATGTGCAATATCTCAGCTGCTATTTATATTACAACAATATGCATTCTATTTATATACATAACCAAATACATTTGCACATATTATATTTGTATGGGATATTCTTTTCAGTACTTTAAATTAGTCTGATCTGTAGTTTTACTATTTTTCGTTTTAATTGATTTCTGTCCAACTTGATATTTGTTGCGTGTGTAGGACTGCTACTCAAATTTGTTGCAATGACAATAAAGGAATGGTGAAATCTTGAAAAAAGAAAAAGAACTTTGTTAAAATGGTAAAGTACCTTCATTCCAGTTTGGCCAAAACTA